TCAAGCTTTGTTTACAGCTGAAACAGTGTACTAGATTGACAACAGTGTGATTCGATAACCTTGGATGCTTTTTTCCTTTCTTGAAGTCCTTCATCCTTTTCTTTTTTTCACGCCGAGTGGCTCGCACTAATCGTCTTCATTTCTTTGTTAATCAAAAGGTGGCCAGCAATGATGGAGAACGACCCAGATTACGGTTACTATTGTGAAACAGGAGAAGATAATTTGACTCCGGTAATCAATATGAAAACTATCTTACCCTAAAGAAGAAAACTGTTTTCAACGGAAATAAAAATGCATGATCTATATTCACTCTGAGGCAATATGTAAATTTCAGGTGTCGTTCCATGTGGTGTTCTTTGACAAACAAGTGTCAAGGTCATGGGTGAACACTGCTTGCATCCGTAACTTTTCTTGTGATGATGACCCGGAGGATTTGGGAAAGGTTTGTTCGGTAACTCCTCACTATGATGTTGATCTGTATAGAACGCCATTGGTGTTTGTTGTAGCCTAGGTTCCATTTCCGGACTTAGTGTCACACGCAATTGGGTCGTTCCCGCTCTTGCTCCGAGGGCTTTTGAGCGGGCTCTCCGGTTTCCTCTCCGGTTTCCTCTCCGGTTTCCTTCTTCCGCAAAAACTTCAGCCTTGGTGCATGTATTTCTAAAGAGGAGCTTTTAACCCCATTGACATTACATGTTTGTCTTGACCTTATGAAATTATCTTAACCCTTTAACTCCCAAAATCTGATTGTTAATTCTCTCCTTTCGCTGCTACACATTTCCTATTAAATTGGTTACAAAAATTTGGTGTTAGATCAAGATAACAACTTCTACCGGATAAGATTGAGTATTATCATTACCTGTTTGCTAAATACTTTATATGGATATAATAGGGAGAAGTTGCATGCTAATCACTTCTGGGAGTTATAGGGTTAATGGTGTTGAATTTCCTTGACTCTTTCTTTCTTCAGGTGAGCGTTAAAGGAAAGAACTACAGAAGACAACTTACAGCTGCCACACGAGAAGCAAGGAGAGCAGCAAAAATGTCACTGCAGGTACTTCCTTTATCTCTTGGATTCTCCTCTTCTTCAAGCAGTCCAATCTCTTATGATTTCAGAATAATTAAGACAGCTTGTAACTGTTTGATTGCTATAGGAAAACAGTTAAAAATAGGAACCTTTTAAAACTTTTTTCCTGCAGAGTCGATTGTCCGAATATGGTTTTAAAGCGCGCTATAAAGGCACCATCGGAGACAAAGCAGAAGAGAAGGCGCGCTCAGCAAGTCTAAAGAAAGGAGAGTTGGACGATTCAGGTGAGATAGTAGAAAGCTTCATTATCTAAAAGGGTCTTGCTAATTATCGTATTAGCGCCTACAGAACACAAAAGTTACCGAGGAAGTTATCAAGACAATCAAAACAGAGTATCGAGATGAAGAAAACGGAGATTCTAAGAGAGTGCGCGGGTGTGGGAGCGGAAAGGCCTGCAAGAATCCTAACATCCGCACAGTCAAACACAATAAGCTGCAATACTCAAGTAATGCAAATTATTGTGAACTATAATGTCCCTGCCAAATCTTGTTTCGGTTTGGTTCCTTTTTTTAACCAGCTGAATTAAGATTTTGGTGACAGTCGGCTATTTTTTTTTAGTTACAGGCTCATCCAGCCAGGAAAATTGCAGCAGTGGGCAAAGCTACGGGTCTTTCAGCAGTCCCGAAGAAAACGATCAAGAAACCCCTCCAAAGTCTAAAACTTGGATAAAGAACGCTGTAAGAAAGCAAACGGAAAGCAAGACCAGCACTAAAGTAAGAAATTCTTGTAGCCCAAAGAAAAAACACAGGAAGAAAAAGAAGCAAAAGACTCAGGCATTTATCGTCTCGAAGGGCTCTGGTACAACCAATCCCAATGAAGGTCAGTTGCACGCACTTTCTGATGGTTTTCACTGGAGTACTTAATTACCATGTTTTAACGGTTAACTTATATCTTCACTTATTTGGTAATAAAAAGAAAACTGAAGGCTATTTTCAGTCGTAACAGTTCGATGACTATATAGCGGCACCTAATTTGTTTGTGTACATAATCAGTGTCTTTTAAGGGTGTATGTTTCCAGATTTTTAGCATGTTATGTTCTGAAATCGAGTACTAAAGAATACGGCGTACCCGTATTTGCAATAAGCCCGTGTTTTTCTTACTAACATGTTTGGTAGGATAAGGCTTTGACTTATCCCTATAACTGTTTTTCCTGACATATCTTTAATTCATGGTCTTACAGTAGAACGAAGAGAATAAATAGTTAATTGGTAATTTTGTATAATTGTTTGACTAAGTGAACTTTATCCTCAGGGGATTCAACCCTGAATAGTGTCGCCTCGAGTGAAAGTTCTGAAATGTGTGAACCTACCGACGAATCAAGAAACACCCTTAGACAGCAGGAACATACCATGGCTATCGAGAAACTTCAACCAACAGTCCACATTGTCTCAAACACCGACAGTAATTTGGATGAAACGCTCGGTGAGCGAGAGAACAGTGCAAATGGAGCCATCATGAAACCGTGTAAAGAAACCGTTGGAGTTCCAACTGCGAGTAGAACTAAAGTCACGAAAGTCAATAAGAAGAGGCAAATCTCAGACGAAATACAGGGAACAAAGAAACGAAAGAAAAGTAAGAATGTCATAGAAAACATTGTCAAAAAATTCTCCAAAGAATCTGAGCAAGAACAGGTGGAGGAGAATAAAAACGCCGTCGTTTTTACCAAATCAGTGTCGTCAAAATCAAGAGACGAGGAGAATAATTTATCTGAACAGGATAAACAGCCAAATCAAAGTGACGAGATGGATGAAATGATTTCAAAAGATATTTCTTCCCTTGGAAAGGATGTAGCGAGGGAGTCTCTTCCAGGAGACAAAACTAAGAAGCGAAAATCTATAATCAGTTCCAGAGATGTTTTAGTGAAAGGAAACCCAACTAATAACGAAACTTCAAGCCAGGAGGCTAATAGCTCCGCATCAAAATTACATGTTAGTGATGAAAAGCCACATAAAAGAAAAGATCCGTCTGATGGGAGGGATCAGTCAAGTTCAACAAGTGAACAACGTACCCATGAGCGAGAAAGTAACGAGTCGGCAAGCATCAAGGAAGAAGTGTCACGTTCCCCTAGTTCAGAGGTCCTAGATCAAAATTGGGAATCTAAACAGAATCCAAAATTTCCCGAAAAACCTGAATTCTTGCATAAAAAAACAGCCTCAAGCACAAATGTTAGAGTAGCTAGCGGTGAGAATGGTTCAGTTCGAAAGAAATGCCTCCCTAAGTTGATAAAGACTGCTTTTAAACCTCCCATGGCGTCCAAAGATGGTAATACTAGCAAAATTCCAAAGATGCCCAAGCTTTTAAAGCCCCACTTTGTTAGCCCTGCAGTTTCACTGCCTGAAAGCAACCACAAAGAGTTTGGAGTAGGGAAAATATCAGATAAAAGCGTTGCACATTCCGTAGCTTCCAAGAAGGATTCTGAACCCAAGAAAGAACAGGAACTGAAGAGGAAGGCTCATTGTAAAGATTCTAGCTTGGCGAATCCGACGTCAAAGAGGGAGAAGAAAGATGACGGGAGGCACGGACGAGCCAACGACATCTCGTCAGGTAAGGACTTAGACCTTTTGACTCGTCAAATTTATTTTAAGGCATATTATGCCTTTGTAGTTTGAAAATTAGCTAAAATGAATCAACAATATTTCATGGGAATCGTGCTTCACTAAGCTAAACTGATTATCCTATTTTTAATGGAGACCCCAATGATCAAGAACAGTCTAGCCTGATTCCTTTATAATGTAGTACATTTTTTTTCATCAGAAAACCTTCAAGATGAAATAGAAGAAATTGACGATGACATCGCAAATATACAGAAAGAACTAAGGCTTTCAGACAGCAGCGATACAAGTTTGCCGGAAGAGGCGATAACTTTGAGAAACGCGGACGGACGCATGCTTTCCGATTCGCCAGAATTTTAAGCCGCAAGCCTTATTTATGCATCAGTATGCGTGATTATATTCAAGCTCAGACTTTCTCGTTAGAACTATCAACGCACTGTAGTTTATCAAATAATGCATTTGGTTCGAAATTGTACATTTTTTGCAGTTATTTTTGTACACTGGACCATTTTCTTCAATCTTGCAGTTAGAATATGCTGTGTTTCCGAGAGATTTGGATTTAACTAATGTTGTCGGGGACCATTTAATCATTTTGGGCCTTCTATGAATCTAAAGATACGAGAAATTTTGGTCAGTTTGATTTTGTTACAGTGTTGATGGAGTTTGTAATAGTCTCATTTACTTATAAAGAATATCGATCAGTGTTACGAGACTTCATCTTATTGACAATCTTGTCTCTAACGGCATTCTTCTCCTTTAGAGAGTTTCATCTGGGAGCATTACATACCATTCCATTTACCTCAACCCTATTTCACCTTCTCAGCCCTACTTTACCAGTAAACAACTTGCAGTTCAGTAGGTCCCTGTTCCCAAAATTTGTGATAATGATCTAATGCCTCAGAGATCTGAGAGCATCCTGAACGTTCACATACCATATTGTGCTACTTCATGCGCGCGCATTTGTCTACAAAATTTGAAACAAGGAAGTCGTCATAAAAGCGCACGCTCTGTGCGCGAGCTCTTATAAATCACTAACAGGAACTTGCAACGTCTGAAGAGATGATAAAGATAAGTAGAGGCCGAGCGTTTATTAAATCGACCTAAGGATTCCAAAGGTTTTGCTCTCACTTCTACAGGTGCGAGCAGCCTCGGCTTTAATAGAGGTCCTCAAGGAGTACAACGGTCTTCAATTCACTTTTCATTAAGCTGCGTTTTGAAGTATCAAAACATTTCTTTTATGTGGAACTTGGGCCAAAGACGCAAAGGAACTCGATCTTTCTCTTTTACCGGAGTCCGTCGTAATGCATGATGGGATAACAATAGTATTACTGCCCAGTCTCATGACGACGGTTCCGCGTCCTGAACTTTGCAGTTTGAGGTTGGTTGTTCTTTTGTTGACACAAACTGCAGTCTTCCGCAGCCACCTTTTACAGTTCATTTAAGAGAAAAGTCTACTTTGGTTTGGTAGATCGAAAGTCTTTAAAAAGGTGCTTAAGATGGTAATGTGGGTACACAATCGACGCTAAACAGGGCAGTCAATATGTCAAGCCTCATAATATTGGAGTCGGTGAGTTGACCAGGTTACTTCGTTTATGAACTTTATGATTTAATTTTATTGACATTCTTTATCTCGTCCATTTCGGTTTGCTATATCTTGTATTTACCTCGTAATTTACAACTCACGAACGCAGTTGATGTTTTACGCTGTTAAATTTCACACCCGCATTTTGATTACTAAATTATTTAAGGTGCTGCCAAACATGATGCTGGTAAAATTTTTCGAGGGTTAATCGAACTTTTTGCTGTAAGCTTCAACATAAATCGCTAGACCGTTGTTTGGTTGCATGTTTATTTAAGTGTCATCTAGTAGAGAGGAAGTTATCTCTATGATACTCTGCACAATAATTTCAAGCAGTAAAGTAAGATAATATCCTAATGATAGATCGATTTTTTTTTTCCATGGAGATGGAATATAGAGTTATCAGCATCGAATTTAAGTTGTTGAGATTTTTTTTTTCAACTTATCTTTTTTAGATATACTTCTGCACCTAAGTATTGTTATTTACGGACTTCGTCATCGGTTGTGAAAGAAATCGAGCAAAGCTGTAAACAATATGTTATTCAATATATTATTCAATATTATTCAATAGTATAAAGTTGAATAGTTATTCAATATCAAATAATAAACAGACTCCTGCTGGTGTCAATGACCCTCTAGTGTAATTTTTATTGTCTTTCTTATGTCTTCCTGATACAATATCTGTTACTATTTTCATCAACTGAAGTACAGCAGAGGGAAAACTGAGATTTCACTGATAGGATAACAGATGAAAGATGAAAAAGGGGTTCAGTATTGGAATATTACAAGGTTAAAACTCTAATTTATAATTATGGCTGAGGTATTGCCTGACACTCAATGTAGTTCTTTGAAGGAATTAGCTGGCCTGGTGATCAGCTTGAAAGATAAATTAAATGAGAAAAACACAGATTCAATGCTTCCTAAATGTGCATGTATTATACATGTAGCCTTTGCCAAAACATTTTTATTTTATTCCTATGGTTTGAAATATTCATCCATTCAATTTAAAGTCTACTTTTTATTCCTCCTAATATGGGGAGCTGGTAGCTGGCCAAAAATGCTAACAATCATGGCATTTTTACATGAAGCTACCTGCTTTTACCTGAATTTACTAAAAATGTTGATGAAAAATGGTGCAAGTTCTGAAACACTGTTGAACAAATGTGTACAGTTGTATTTTCAGGTGTTAGTCAAATTAAATGCTAAGCTACCTGCTTTTACCTGAATTTACTAAAAATGTTGATGAAAAATGATGCAAGTTCTGAAACACTGTTGAACAAATGTGTACAGTTGTATTTTCAGGTGTTAGTCAAAGTAAATGCCAAGCTACCTGCTTTCACCTGAATTTATTAAAAATGTTGATGAAAAATGGTGCAAGTTTTGAAACACTTTTGAACAAATGTATACAGTCGGTATTTTCAGTTGTTAGTCAAATTAAACACTAAACTAACGAGGTATAGATGAATCAGTTCCACATTCAGAATTTGCTGGAAGGTTGGTGCAACCTTGCTGGAATACCAGGGACATAATCCCTTTACATCCTAACATCAGTTTGTATATTCTCCATACTGTTTTCTACACATGTCATAAGGTGCTGACAAGGAGAATTTGTTCAACAATCAAGACCCTCTTCTCGGTGATCATTCCTTTATTCTTGTGACCTTCATGTTTGATTCAGGGGACATTGTAAGAGGAAAAACGGATGCTTATTACTCTTACAAGTCAAAGGGTTAAGTGGATGGTTTCTTGTATTACATGTAATCTGAGGAAACAACATGGTGTCCTCAATAACTTGGCTTCATATTATTTCTTAGAGATTGTCTTTTCCTTTAAAACTTGTTTTGGGCCCTGCTAATAGACATTTCAAATTGATTATCAAGAGAAGTATTAAACACTTTTGAAAAACAGAACAAACTGTGGCTCTGAAAATATTGATACCTTATTCATGATTATCATTTATTTATTAGCCAGTTAAAAAATAATATTTATACAGGTTTGACAGTATGGTAGGGTGAGGAGACCTTCAAGGAACCATCAGGCTTACAGGGGAGGGCACCTTGGTTGTCAATATGTTTGTTATTAAGTTGTGGATGTGGATGTGCAGCTTGCCCAATTCAGACTCATTTTATCAAAAAATCAATCATCTTTCTTTTAAAAGTAAAAAAGTTAATGACACCAGTGATATTGGGAGAGAATTCCAGATTTTAGAACCTTGGTAGAGTATTGTAAATTGTTTTAAGATTAGTACAACAGTTGTGTGGTCAATAGCAATTGGCTATTATTGCTATTTCTGCAAGTTCTGTATAAATTTTTGCCTCCTTGTATTACTCAGGATGCAGGGGAACTGGGAGACATTGATGACAGACTTCAGAAAGATGGCTACAGAACCAACCTTCCAGTTGAGCACAAACTTCGCTATTTTTGGAGACAGTTTCTTCGATCTGAAACCAGTCTTAAATCCTCTCTGGAGAGTGTTGAGCAGCTGCGTAAACAGCATGGAGAAGAAATGATCGAGGTGGAGAACTATGTTGCACACATAAGACAACTGTCAGATGAAAGAGAAGCATTGACTCAAGAACTGGAGACTGAAAACGAGCAGCTTAAGGCAGAACTTGAGCAAATGAAAGTTGAAAAAGAGGCAGGAGCTTATGTCTCAGAGGATATATGTGACTTGTTAACTGAGTCTGGCTTGACGCAAATCGGAAGAGACACTAATCCAGTTAAGGAACAGGTGAATTACTTGATAAAGGAAAGAGCTTCACTGTCAGAGAAAGTAAAAAGTCTTGAACTTGATAATGAAACACTAAAGAATAATTCAAACTCAGAGCAGTCAGATAAGCGGCTAATGAAAATTATGGAGGAAGAGAGGAAAGACATGGAAGAGGAGATGAATAGAATGCGCGAAATGATGAAGCAAGTGAAACAGGAAGAAAGGAAGATTCATGAACAAGAAGTAAAGAAAGTTACAGATGAGAATGACAGCTTGAGAGCCCAGCTGGATAAAGTTGAAAAACAGCATAGTGAGGACTTGAAAGAACTAATTAACAGACATCAAGGTTTGTTCTTACAAAACACAATAATGTGTAGGGGCAAGTTCATTTATTATTCATTACAGCAGAATTTGATGTTCTTTTCTGTTTGTACTGAAATTTCCCAAATTGAGATTGTTCCTTCTTCTCATGTAACCATGATTATACAGCTTTCTTAAAATGTGATTGAGTAGACCTTGGTCAGCCCTTGTTACATGTAGGTGTGCCATCAGAATTTTTTTTCACTTCCATTTCTGATGAAAAAACGAATATTATTGTAGAGGACCAGTACTGCTTGTAGAAAGATGTTTTTACTGCATTTTTATTATCTGTTTATCATTTTATTAATTCAAAACAATAATATTAATTTCATGCTTATGTATTGTTCAAACTACATTTAGGAGAAAAATTGAAATTGCTGGAGGAAAGAGACCAAGAGAAAGAAAAAACTACTGCTCATGCGGGCAAGGCTGATAGAGTAATGGCAGAAGTTGAGGAGCTGAAAGGGAAAATGAAATCCATTGAACTTGAGAAAACATCTCTACAAACCACAGTAAGTAAAAACCAAAAAAAAGCAATTGACTAAACCAAGTTGAGGAGTTTATATTTCAAATACACTCCTTTCAAATTACAGGGTGGTTATAATGATAAAGTTAAATTCTGAGTATTTTGTATGCCATTACTTTTAATAGGAAGTTGCCTGAATGAATTGTAATACATTGTAAGTGTCTTTTTGTTAATTACCCTTTTAAAGTAACAAGTTTCTGAGAAAACCTTTATTATCCATAACTTACAAGCCACAAATGTGATAGCTCTTAAACAAATACCTGAAACCCTTATAAACCACAAATCAAAATGTCAAGCAAATGTCATATTTCTGAAATTTTGGGAATTTTCTTTCCAAGAATGTTAATAATTTCCAGTGACTTTCCCCTTCTCTGCTAAATCACCATCATGGTCCAAATTCACCTATCTCTTTCCTTTGATTATTTGTCAATAAAGTTGCAAATCCTTGTTAAGATCTTTCAAGAAGGATCTGCTCTGTAGACATTCTTTGACTCATTTTAGCTGTATCACACTGGGATTTCTTTGCACAACTGGAGCAAATATAAAGAAAACAAATGCTAGTCAGGTTGTTTACTCCATGATATGCTCATGAAACATTCCTAGTGCCCTACCACAATACTCAAACTTTGCAAGGGTTCAATTGTACTGATTCCAACAATACTGTTGAAAAGGATTAAATCATGATAGTTCAATATTTCAACCACAGAAAAAGTGAATTGTTACCAACAGCTTGTACTTAAAAAATTGTTTTAATATTCCTATTGTGAGAACATTAATTTATATGAGATATGGTGTTGATATACAGCATAAATGTAAGATTCTTTGCATTTTATAATGAAAGTGTGAAATGAGATCCTTCTAGTCCAGCCAGACTGTGAAAGTTATCTAGTAAGTATAGGTGATGTTGTGTTTGTGGTACAACTTTGTGGTAACTCTGTCCTTTTAATATGGTAAGACCTGTTCCTAAGTTAGACTTCAACGTTACCTTTGTTTGATACACAGGTACAGTCACTGGAAGAGGAAATTGATAAAGAAAAGGAAGAAATTAGTAAAACAAAAGCATCTCAAGAAGCTTCAATCAAGAAACTCAAAACAGAACTATCTGGCACTAAGCAAAAGCTCCAAGAGACAGAGGTTTGTCAGATGTGACTTGATGATTTAAATGAATTTTAATCAATTACACCCTATTCAATTTTGGATTGTTTAACACTATTTTCAGTAATTGGGGACAATGAAAAATTAAATAAAGCGTGTTTTGAAGTTTAAAGAAGAATGGTAGGGAGATTATTGTCCAGAAAAAGTCTTGCTCCCAAAGCAAACTTGTGTTTTCCCATGGCAAGCCTTAAATCATTCAGGGCTCTCACTAGGAGATAGGGGCCAGGAATTTCCTTTGGGATTTCCCCCCTTCAAGGCAAAGAGGTTTGTTAGTGAATTGAATTGTGGGGAACACTCCTTTTAATATGTAAGAATCAATGAAAAATTTAATAGTATGCATTATGAATTTTTTAAAAATTTGGCACTTTTAAATGGTTATTCGTTAAAATGAATAATAATTTGAAAGTTAGTGTTCAAGAAAATCTTGCTATCAGAGTGAACAATTATATTTACCCAAGCCTTCAAATAAATAGCTTTAAAAATTTGAGAAATTTATACACATATAAAGTTGCAAATCATATTACTGTTCACCAGTAGTAAAGTTGTTAAAATATTGAAGAATATGTGAAAAGATAACAATACTACTAAAACAATTTCAATTATGGTGTTTCAATTCTTTACTTAATTGTAAAATTCTTTTGAAGCCATGATTTTTGATATACTCTGAATTCTTCTTAATAACACTCCAGGTAAAACTCAAAACAATTGAAGAGGAAAAGAGGACCGTTGAAACTCGGCTACAGGTGGCACAAAAAGACCTTACAACCATCCGTGATCGGGAAGCAAAACTATCCAGTGAGAAGGTAGTGTAGGGAACTCTTCACTTCACCTGATTACTGTGAGGCAATTAATCTTGCCACTTTTCAGCTGAATTACATGACAGTATATACGCAATGCCATGTGAAACTCAGTGGATTAGTGGCTTACATGCAAGACTCCTGATCAAGTGGTTTTGTTGCAAGCTCTGGCTTGTGTAATGTATCATTATATTTCTAGAACTTTTTGGTCGTTATTATTACTGGTTTAGTGATGCTATTATCAACTGTGGGAAGTTGCACAATTGAAAAAAAAATTACCTCCTTGGTAAAGTAGTTTTTGGGCTCCTATCTGTAAATTTTAAGTGGATGATTAGGTTAATTTGATGTGTATTTCATCTTTCCTTCAGGACAATGTTTTGACTGAAGCTAAATCTTCAACTCAAAAGTATGTTTTGAACTCTAATTACCTAATTCTGTTTATCCTTAGAGGGTCAATATTATTTTTCTTTGTCTTGCAGCTATTAAACTTGATATAAATCATTGTTTTATCCACAAAGGAAAAAAAGAGTATTTTCTTGATTGAATGCTGGGAAGGTGATAAAAAACTTGTCAACCTTATATGGAAATTCCAATGTGTTTCTAATAATTTATGTGTAGGATTCATTGAATTATACTACTTTATAACTTGGTTTCAACTTGCTCTGATTTGATTGAAATACTAACTGTAATGAATACAATTTGATATTTATTTAGAACAGTCAGGGCCCTCTTATTAAAGATGAAATTTTGATTTTGGCTTAATCTTACCAGTGCATCATTTACAGCATACTGCTTTCCTCATTTAGGCAACAAATTAGAATACAGCAACTTGGTGATGAAAATAGCAGTCTGAAAGAACGACTTCAGACAGCAGATGATACCATTGAACGACAGATGAAACAGATTGAAAATCTAACCTTACAGCTTGGAGAGGCAGAGAGGAATCTTGCAGAGAAAGAAGAAGATATGGAGTCTTTAGACAAATCATCTAAAGATGAGGTAATATAACTGTATTAAAAGTGAAAGCCTTTTATAGATTGTTCCTATTAGGGAACTGAATTATACATTTTCAGTAATGATTGCAATAAAGGGAATCATCTTTCCGAGCAACTCCAAAAGCTCTGCACTAGCTTACAGAGAATTGTGTTATTATTTGTTTGTTGATTCACTTTCAGATCTTGAGATTTTTAGAGGATTTTCATTTTTTTCCTGGAAGTAACCAAAATTTCCATCTTATAAATTATTTGGAATGTGCAAGTAAAGCTTTGTATATATTACTGTGGGTTTTTCAACTTTGAGACTCCCCAGTCCCATCTTTGAATTAACTTAATGTCCATCTATCTCCTTGAGGCTAATTTGATAATGAATGAATGATTAAACAGCTAACTGGTGGTGTCAGTATTAAGCATCATAGTGCAGCTGGTAACAATTTTCAGCCTCTTAGTAATGACTGCATAAAATACTGATTGCAATTGCAGCTGAACATATAGTTCTTTTATTTGTACAAATCCTTAACTGTGATATTTTAGATTAAATGTCTGAGATTTAAAGTAATGTACCTCTCTGAACTGTCAGTCTTTCATGATTTGTAAAACAAACCTATTTGCCTCACATTAACAATGGAAGCAAGTATTAAAGATCTCCCTGTTGCTGAATTATTGATTTGTTTACTTCTATTTTAATGTATTAGCTCAACACACTGAAGGCAAAACTAGCCAGAACCACAAGTGAAGCAACCACTTTGAAAGAGGAACTGTCTGAAACAAAGCAAAGACTTAACAAGGTCAGTATATGAATCACAGTCAAGAAATTTTGCTGTCATAAATATGGTTACAGTCTTTACCATGACAGTGGAAATACATATAATTATTATCAAGTATTCTTATGAGCTGCAGGATACATACAAAGTATATAAGAAAAAGAAACATTAAAAGTGTATCACATATCAAGCACAATTATGAATTTAACCAGGCAAGAAAAGAAAATTTTGAAAGGTAAAGGGTGTAATTTTTAAGAAAAACACATTTTTACTTGATTGTGTGTGCAGTATGGGAACACTTATCACTGACTCTTCACAGTGACCCAGTCAATGTCTATTTACTTTACATGATGCTCACTTGACATTAGCATTGCATGCATTTTACAAAAGTGTGTATGTTGCAATCTCTCTGGCCTATACTGTACAGAAGTAATTTTTATCACAATCTACCCTGCCAGTATTTAAGTATAAGATGGTATATGTAAGAAAAAATTATATACCAGTATTTAGAGTTTTTCATTTTGTAAAAGTCATACAAAAGACATGAAGCAGATATGTTTTAACCATTTTGCAAATTAGATCTTGTTACTACCAACATATTGGTTTAAAAATATTGACTTCATTACCAAATACATTTATCCTTGTTGTAGAAAGCCAAGTTCATAACCATGTAATATACAGTATATTTGCCTTCCAGCACTACCAATTTGAAAGTGTGTATGAAGAAATTAGATTACTGCAGATAACCAGCTAAAAATTAATCTCTGAAAATTAAACATATCACTGCTTTGGGGTAACAACATTGGAGTCTGTGTAGTTTTGAATAACAATAACACTATAACATCATTTTTCTCTGATATTTGTCCTGTGCAAGTCTTAAGCTAATATCATTTCCTTTTGAGGAAGAAATCAATAATAAGATTTTGTATTCCAGTTATTTACATTTTTGCATTCCCTGACACATGTGTTTTATGGCTTGTAGATTATGTCTGACCACAAGACTAATGAAATCAGTTATCAGGAAAAGCTAATGGCAGAGTCTGGCCGCAGCAAGAGTGCTGAAGAAGAGAAGGAACTATTGCGTGAACAGATTGTTGACTTGAGAAAGGTTAATGCATAACATATCAACTTAACCTTTTGAAATTTTGACTCAATCTTGAACTAAACAAACCAATGTTCCTGTATGCATTGTCTTACATTTCAGTATTAAGATGGTTCAATGAAAGGGGGAAATTTGTTCAAAATTTACTTCATTTAGAGTCATGACAGTTTCTCTGTAAACAGTGATAAAATACATCTCATTTTTAACCTCAAATGAGGGAACAATTATGAAGTTCTAATTACCAACTTAAAGCACTTAATTTTTGCATCATGTATGTACTCCAAAATGCATGAAACAATCTAAAATGACATTTACAGCTTTGTGTTGATGGGACTACATTACATAGTAGTTTTTTACTTTCTTGGCCATAGCTGTGTGGGATATCACTTCTAACTTGTAATATGTTTTGTGTGATTCTGTTTCCAAGGGGCTGTAACCATTTCTCCTTTAACACACATAATCAGGGACTAATTAAAATTCTTCTGCCCATTGAAGCACTTATCAAACAGATGCTTTTCAAAATTCACCTTAATATTGGCTTTAGAGTTGTTCAAAGTTTTGTTAAAAACTGGTGATCCAAATGACCTGTAATCTCTGCTATTTACTCTTTAAATTGTAATTGGAATGAGTAACTTGCAAGTAGCTTGCCAAGTATAAAGTATAGTTTAAAACCAATTTGTGTCATAAGACATTTGCTGGGAAATTTGGTAAAAAGGCATTACTTTTTGTTAATACTCAATCCCTTTGTAAATTTTTATGACAGGACTGTGCTTTAACATAAAAGCTGATCTCAATTTTTGTTTAACTAAGCTTTGTTTAGTTTTCTTTTCTAATGAAAAGTGGCTCACAATGCAACAATAGTTAACTGAAGTCATTACTCTATCAACAAAACAATACATACAAGATCTTTCAACACTTCATTATGACTGATCCCCCCCTACTGAGCTATTCGAGAGCATTTAGAACTGATTTGGACTTTTTTTGTGGCACAATGTTGGGGGAAGATGACTGTCTTGAAGAAAAACTTCCACCAGATATCAAGGTATAAGGTTTTGTAAGAGCTTGGTGAAACAGGAATGTAAAGGCACTATCTAATCAGAAAGTTGTATGTTCTTGTTGGTACATGCAATTTTAGAAATTTAAAATTGTTACTGGCACTTCTAAATGAATTCTAGCTTTCTATTACGATTTTTTGGTCAAATTGGTTCCATTGTACTTATTGAAACCAGTTGTTTGAACAAGTAAATTATGTTCTGTTTCTTAAGGAGTCAAGATTTTGTCCTTAAAATGCCTTCAAATCTTTCTTTGACCAATACTGGTGATGTATGACCTTACATAGTACACTGGCACCTTTATGTTACATTATTTGGTATATGAATTATGCAATGCATTTTCAATTGATAAAACAACAGGATCTTGAAGCATCACTGGCAGCTAGTATGAGCAGAGAGAAAGAAACCATGGAACAGACTGCAGCTTTGGAAAAAGAGAAGGAAAATCTAGCAAGAGAACTTGCCTCTTACATCAATAAGGAAAAGGACAAGGTACATGAGTTGTATATCGTTAGAAGTTTTAAGTTATTTTTGGAAAGCATCAGTGTTTAATCCATTTTATTAGGGTTGTCAAAGGTGCCAGCTATTTTGAATGCTTGTGGCTTAATCTTCAGCCTGGAAGCATGACTTTGTGCCACCTACTAAGTATTACTGTCCAGAATCTTTTTTACAGCCCTGATTCTGTGCAGTTTGTCTTAAGTACTATTTATATATTGTATTTTTTTCATGTTTTTTGTTAATAGTAAGTTTGCCCCTTCACTTTTCAGCAGTACAATGATTCAGTGATAGGGAAAATAGAGATTCAGAATTATTCTTTGATTATTTGATGGTCAATTTTTGGTTAAACTGTATTTAGCTTGTTGAAAGCAAGTTTCTTATGGCATTGTTTAATGTGAGAGTATAGTTTAAAGGTTAAGGGTGGCTTTGGTTCTGTCTGACCTTGATTGTACTGTGTAATGTCAGAACAGTAGGTTGGAAATGCCATGAGCAACAGATGAAAGGTTTGAAAGTTACCTTATAAGCCAACGGTGTCCTTAAGCATGTCGTGAATGTGAAATATATGATGTTTTGACCTGTGGAATAGATAACTTCAGTTGTGACAAGTAGTTTGTGACCCATCTAAGCTACATAGCCATTTGTTGAGCCTGAGGCAAATGTTACTGGGCCCTTTGTTTTCTGTAAAGGTTCTTGTATTTATAGATCACTTTAAGTACACAATTTAATTTCAGATCATTACTGATAGCTAGGATGAAGAAAGACACGATTAAATTAACTGATATGTACATACTGTTTCCTTGTTTCAGTCAAAGAAAACTGATGAGCTAACTGTACAGTTACAATCAATGGAAAATGAAAAGACTTCCCTTCACGCTGTTGTGTCCACACAAGAAAGACAGATTAGTGATCTCAATATTAAGGTACAGGACATCTTTAGTTAGATAGTGGTTGCCATGAGGGAGATGAGAGGATAAGTGATAACGATGGAGACCTATTAAGAAATCCCTCAGGGTTTCGAGAGCATGGCTCAAAATACATTTTGTATGCCATGCATTCCTAGTAGCTTTGACCCATGAGAGAAACTGGGAAAGGTTTAAGTTTGAGTTATCAAGAGTTGAGATCAAATATAAACGATAGTAAGGGGAAACATTTCTTTGTTTCTTCGTTTCGAGCGTCTCGAAACTCGACACGAGCCACGATCCTCGATCTTCGAAGTTTTTGAGAATCGAGGATCGAATTTCGATGATCTGTCAACCTACTTTTGAGCGGTGCAGTACCTTTCACACAAGTGTCACCTGTGGTATCGTGCTGACCAGAAAGAATGGAATGTTTGAGGGATAAAAGCAAAGCTCTTTATCACTATGGGTGACTGTACTTTAGCTAGCGAAGCTTCAACTGGACTCTATGTCTATCGATCCTTGTAATGTCAGTACCTTGTTTTGACTCGTCACTTTTGTACAACCATGTCTAGGGTCATCAAGGTAAAATTTAATGGTAGTATAGTGATAACAACTGTATGCGCTTTGTGTTCTTACTAGGTTTCATAGTCCCTGTTATAGTCGGTGTTTCCTTTGGTTTTGGATTCTAACATCACTTTTGTATTAATTTATGCACAATAAACCGTTTATACACAGCTGTATATCTGTTGGTCTTGTCTTTGCTTACGTGGTACTGTGTTTTGAACTGTTTATGGTACCAACAAAACTAAGTACAAAATTTTTGTGCAAACATGGGCGAAAATTTCTTTGTAGTTAAAATTGTTGGTATAAATGCGTTTTCAGTTGCATTGACATTGAGCTTTTTCTTTCCTCCTCTTTTTTTTCAGCTGGAGAAAATGGATGAGAAGTGTGCTGAGTTTGAAGAGCAACTGCAAAAAGAACAGAACAGAACTTTAGGTAGGATGCCACATGCACCAGATATGGTGACAGTTTTTCACTATGATCTTGTTATTCGAAGGGTGCATAACACCTTCTAACGGATAAGTCACAATCCTAGGAATGGTGTAGTTTTTTTTGTGGACTCCTATTCACTGGATATTTTTATGTTGTTCACCCTTCAAACAAATGCAGCCTGTCCCAGCTAGATTATTCAAAGGATAGATTGCAACCCAGTTGAAAACCTCTTTTAGTCTGTCTTTTTGTGCCATAAATAGTTATTGGCTTACTGGAAAGTGTTATTAGTTAATTGAAGATCTAGGCAAGTCTAACAATGTCAGGTCAGCTGTAGACTACAAGCAGTTCCTCCTTTACGGCGAAGTGCCTCGCGCGAGGCAAAAAAAATTAGAAACAAAAAAAATTGATGTTAGCACGCCACGCGAAACTTTGGGTTCATGCGCCTCACTCTCAGAGTTTCCGCGCGTGCGCTTACATCAAAATTGTTTTTCTTCTTTTTTACTCGCGCAACGGACTTCGCCGAAAAGGAGGCACTGCTCGTAGTCAAGTTCAGCTGATCCACGCCCTCCTCCCCCTAGATGTGCTTACTAGGGGACCGAGGTCCCCAAGTAAGTCAGTTGAAAAGAAAGCTAATGACTCTCTTAATTGTCTATTGGAAAGGTCTTGTTCCTTTCAAAGCTGTTTCGAAATCGTGGTGTCAACATTTTCTTTTGTTTTATGTTCAGAGTTAAGCACACGATACGAATTCACTCAAGAGAGCAGCAGCTCTGCTAAACAAGAAGTAGATCAGCTTAAAGAGGAGGTGAAAGTGATGTCTGCACAACTTCTTAGACAGCACAATGCTTCCTTGGATAGTCAAGTGCGTAGTATTTACTTTATCACATAATTTTTTTACAACTCGTGCTAAAAGTCTCTGAGGGATTGCCTCTCGAAGGCGAGGCAGTCATTCAACTTCATACCAAGATTTTACTTTTTCACTTCATTTTAGTACTGATATCTAAGAGAACATTTAAAAAGTTATGACGTTAAAACTGGCCGCAGCTGGATAGAAAGAAACGAGAGAATTAGTGGCAATTCGACCCTAAAAGTTAGTTTCATGATGCGAGGTCGTCAACTGATGGAAACAATACGATAGAGAATCGGATATCATGAACGGTTTTCATTATGTTATGTTGGATAAAACAACAAATGTCTACAAGTTGAAGTAAATTATGTGGTTTTAATTGTCCTTGTGAATGTTCGTGTTTATAGGCCAAGTATGAGAGGCTAATTGTGGACATGCGCAATGAGATCGAGCGTGAACGAGAGAAATCCTCCGCAGAGCGTCACTCCTTGGCGAGTCAGTTAGAGCAAGCAACCCGGGAAAGTAAAGATTTAAGTGCACTTTTACGAGAAAGAGATGAGGTAATGCTCTTACTCTGATTAGGAAAGGTTTCTTAACTCCTTTCTTTAACCCTTTTTCGATCTCAGGAGTGACAAAGCCCTATTCATTTTATTTTCCAAACTGAGACGAGGAACAACACAAGGGTAACTGACTCAGAACCTTGCATTTATTTTCTTGTAGGAGCTTATTGCCCTTCGTGCAGAGCTCACCAACGCTAGTCACACTGGAACCAAGGCTTCTACAGCTCTGGAGTTTGAGAGCAAAATGAGAGGAAGCCTGGAAAACAGGACAGCGCAACTAGAGAATGAGCTCAGTAAGGCCTGGGAACAAATTAAGGAATTGTCTGAGAAGGGATCCATGTTGGAGACAACAAAGAGGCACCTAGAAATTGAACTGGATAAGGTATTGCTTCTTTTGACCTGTTCACAACCAACTCACGTCGACACATGATGAGAGTCAACGGTCAGATTTCCACTTCCTTTTGAGGAGATGAATTAACCCCTAAGAGTTTTTTAACATCTTCTTTCTCCCTACGATGTCACAGCTGAATCAAATATTAAGGTCATAAGAATCAAGAAAATGATCACCAGGTAGAGAAGCTGTTGACTGTTAAACACATCCTCTTTGTCAGTACCATAGGAAATGTATAGAGAACAGTATGAAGAATATACATACTGATTTTAATGTGGTTAAGGTTAAAGAAGATATCTGAAAACCAATTAGGTGAATAACTCTGCAGAATGAATATAGTGATGCAAATCAAACTGCAGTTAGTAAACTTAGGTTCTGACTCTTCAGTTAATTGTGGCGACAAATGCCAGGAATACAATAAATTTGTCACTAAAAGTAGCTGCTTATAAATAGCTGTTCTTCATTTCGTCACCAACGTGGGACCCAGATAAATGTATGTTCTTTACAAATGTACTTTTAAAAACTTCAACGTGTCATAATCATGGTAGTAATTTAAGCTCATCTTTTGCAGTGTCGTTTATTCTTTTGGAATCGAACCTTCGCTATTTCCAACACTGATAAATTTATTGATCCTAACACTTGTTTATTTCCAACAGAAAATGCAGCAGCTGCGTCAAACAGAAAGTACACTTCATAGGAGACAAGCGGAACACACTGCAGTTCTGGTTGCTAAGGATACTGCTCAACAACAAGCAGAGCAGGCTGAGACTAAGGTGGAATGTCTTGCATTTTTATTCAGTCTCCTGTAGTTATTTGTTTATTTCGCTATATTTTCAATTTCTTCTACTCTTTCAGTCTATTCCCATCTTTACCAGTTCTGCTCATTCATTTCCTCCTTGACTTCCTTAACCGATTTGTAACATCATTAACCTTTTGACCCCTTAAAGTGACTAGCTTCTAATTTCTCTCAACAGTATCACCTCTGAATCAAACATTAAGGTCTTGAGAATAAAGGAAATGATCATCAACTAATGAAGCTCTTGATTGCTGTACAATTCTCCTTGTTGTCACCTTGAGAAATGTATAGAGAACAGTATGGAGAATATGTACACTGATGTTAGGGTGTAAAGAGTTAAAGGGATACAGAATGGTTTTTGACAGCAGCACTTGAGTGTATGTAGTAGATACGTGTACTTTATTTTATTTTTTACTTTTTGGTATTAAGTTGGCAGTTTTAAGGCACGAGTTCGAGGGAATCAGTGAAAAGTTGGAGCTCACACAATCAGAACTGAGGCTTGCAAATGAGCAACTGGCTGAAATGAAGCTTACTTCTGAAGAAAATAACACTCTAAGAGTTCATCTGGAAGAGGAAGAGGTTAACAAGTGAGTAATTGGCGTGAGAATTACTCCCTAATTCGATGACATGTTTATAAGGAGTGTACATTACAACTTTAGAGGTGACGCGAGATAATTCTTTGAACAAGTGTCTCCTTCAAAAACCAAACGAGCAACAATTCCCTGAAAAAGTGTCGCCTTAAAAAACAAAATGAGTGAAATCTTCAAATAATGTTATTGTTGTCGCTCACAAAATTTGAAAAATGCTCGGCACCCATCAAAAGAGAACGAGCATGATTTTTTTTGCGAGATTATTAGATGTAGATTAAAAATTAGCCCTCTGACATTTATAAATATTATTGTACTACGTGCTTGTAACGTCATGAGCAGTCTTACGCCATTTGGACCCAGTTATATGCTTAATACTATTGCGAAAATTTAATCAGTGACACTTGTTATTACGAAATTAACTAATGGAACGTGATGATTACATTCTATAAATGCCCATAAATCGTTGAGTTCTGTTTAAAATTGATTTGTTATAAATTCTCTTTTATTTGACAAAACCTGTCTTGTAAAAAAACCTTGATTTTGTTCAATGAATTAAGTAAAATATTTAAATGAAAACGAAAAAAGTTAAAAAGATGATACTGCAAACTAAAGTAACAATACACGTTGGCCTAGCAAAGAACACAAAAGTAAAACTAAAAGCCCTGACACGTTATAAACTTATGCGCCACATTTTTGCAATAAAAGAATAACTAAAATGTAAAATTTAAGATTAAACGCATCACAATGAAATACTCGTGTTATGTAATTCACCAGACTGTAACACATTTATTTTAAACTCCTTAAGTTATCTGTAACGTAAAGAAAAAAATAATCGACTCTTTCGTGTAAAAAGAGTGTTATAACTGTTAAACGTTGTCTTTATGTTGCACTGAAATCTGAACATAACTGGTGTGATGTTTTCCAACCTATATACCTAAACCTCGCCAGACTCGCTTGTGATGTTATAGAACTCGAGGAGATGCTCAGGTAAAGATAACAATGTTAGTATATCGTTATTACTAATGTTAGCGAATAATGATCTTAACCACTTTTATGTTTTATATTCTTTTTCTTCTCTTTAATGACTAAATGCCTTTAATTGCTGAGAATACTGGACTTAAAAAATAACTCTATTTGAATTTATCGTAAAAGCGAGGTTACATTTATAGCACAGAGAAAAGTAGAACAAGATAACAGTTCTATTCGTCAGCATAATGCCAAATTTAGTGCGTTTAATCGTGCAATTGGTTGAAAGGCCAATACTGGAAAGATTTCTTTTTGAGTTGACGTCGATGTAAGAAAAATACTCCTTTTAGTCCTGAGGTCATCTGTAAATGAAATGTTAGTTTTTAGTTCTTTAGAGCCCTTAAAACGTTCAATGCAAGGAAAAGTGGGATGAAGTCAGTATCTTGCTAGAAAACAAGCTTGTCTTATGTTGTCCGTTTGAATTAAGTAGCTGTTAAATTTTTCGTTCTGATAGTCGCATAGAACATCACCGGATGTTCTAGGAATTTTAAGGCTCAATAAGGTTCAGCTGAAAAGGGGATTGACCGGGCTATTTTATGCATTGATTGGGGCAAGTTGATATGGTTATCTTAGAACCCTGTTTTGAGCAAGGATTTGAGATCCTCCCTTGTCTTTGTAGGGGAATACAACATCAAACTGTTCAAGAACTAGAAAAACAAGTCGAACTTCTTCGTGATAGAGATGCTCAGCTGCAATACACAGTCAAAGAACAAGAGGCTAAGATAGAGGCGTTGAAACAGAAAGTCAGGAATACTGGAGATAAGGTAGTTTATCTCTCTGCTGCTCATATACTCTCGTGGTCAACGTGCATGTTATTCTAATGCAATCACTCTCAGTGCCGAAATCTCTCAATAAATTCATTCAATGGGCTGTTTTTGTCATGATGCACAGGAAATGACAACTAGGGGTCAGATTTCTTTCGTCTCACGCAGTATATATAACGCCTCACCAGTTACACTTAGCCTGCGTGCACATCTATATATTACCCCCGAGGAGGGAGTTTTTCATCTGGTAGACCTTCATTGTCCGTAAAAATCAGTCATAAATTACTTCTGGTCCTGTCAACTTCAGCTGGTAGAAAAGGCTGCGTTTTTTTTCGCTATTCAGGGTTAAGCGCGAGTGGAACGCGATGGACAAGTTAGTCACGCGAGTCACGCGTGAGAGAAAGAATGACCAGCTGAAGAAGGCAAACTAAGAACAAACTATGACTGTTCTGCGGGCTAGATTATCCAATAATATACTAGAGAAACTAAATGAAGCAGATCCAAACTTGTTTCGTCTTGATTATTTCTTGATAGCATAAGCAAAAGGAAGATGATGCAAAGTCTCTGACAGAAAGAGTGAACGAGTTCCAACAAGAAGTGGAGTACTTACAGGGAGAGTTGGTTAACGCTGCGGAAAGAATTGATCAACTACAGAGGAAAAACGACGAGAGAAAAACCAAGGCTCATGCCACAATCAGATCACTTAAGTGAGTCTTAAACTTTCTACGCGATGTTTAGTTCAGTTATCTCTTTCATTCTCTCACAATGGGCAAAAGCGTAGAAAGCATTATATTCCTAACTTTGTTTGATAAATATTCTAGCGCCTCTTTTGCATTACTTCTGGTTGTATTGATGCCATGCAACAAGTGGCGTTTTGAGGTCACTTGTATACAGTGGAAGAAACCTGCTCAATCTATAATCCGACAGTCACATTTCAACAGTCGAACATTACGAGCGAGGTAATGTTCCTGATTCTAACGGAGTAAAGTTCGTTTATGACGGAGTTTACGGTGGAACAAAATAAGCATTAATCTCGGTGCTTTTCGTTGGAATATCAGAAAACTAACACCAAAGTAATGACGACGGTCAATCAGAACAGAGGCCGAAGAATTATTATCTAATGGGTCAGTAGGGAGCGACAATAAATGTATGTCAGTTGCCTCGGCGATTGGGAAATTGAAGTCGCAGTTGGGTTTACTTTCCTATAATTAGTTGAGAGGGTGAGGCAAATTTCTAGACCAATCATAAATCGAAGTGGAATGAAATGAAAGCATTCCCGGATTATTCTCGACATTCAGTTGGAAATTACTCCAAAGTAGAATTTGCCTGATTTCAGGGATAGATTTGCACGTGAAAAGAGAAACCTCGAATCCACAGTGCTGTCCTTACAGAGCAGTTTGGAGCTGACTCAGGAGAGAATGAACAAGGAGGAAGAACTTAAGGGCACAACACAGGCCGTTCAAAAGCAGCTCATGGGAGAGAAACGAGAGCTACTTGCGAAGTGAGTCAATCGCTCTGCGTTTATTCTCATCAAACAAGAGTAAACAAAGGCTGACGATTCTCCGCTTTTCTAACATCAGATTAGAGCTAACGTGGATGAGATGAAAAGTGGAAATCACAGAGGAGTCGGTCCATAATTGATATTAATAGGGTATCATTTTACAGTAGCAGGAATATTGATAAACCCATATTCCCAATTCGATATCCTCAAACAAATCTAAATCAAACGCGACATCTTTAAAAATGTCAGCTGGCAGCGGGCGTGGAGCTGGATCTGGGACTACTGAGTAACAAATCAATCTGTTTGTCAGAGCGGGACTGGAACCTGGAACCTCTGAATTAAGAGTCCAATCCACTCTCCAGTCTACCACACTGCCTCCCTTGCAACCGAACGGTGAAACCTAGCGGACTTCTCAACTTTGACTCTTCTATTCCCTCTGAAGTGAACATGTATTCGTGTCCTAAAGCCGATCATTCCGGTAGAGTATTACCAGAGACACGATAGTAAACTCTAGATTTTCGTTTTATTCAAACAGATTAACGGACAGCGAGGAGGTTATCCGGGAACATCTGAGAAGTTTACGCCAAAGGGAGGCTGCACTGAACGCGTTGGAAAAAGAGAATTTTGAACTCCACGACAAAGTTAACTTGCTAGTGCAAGAAAAAAGTACCATATCAAGAGAACTTGAGAAAACCAAGGTTGGTCAATCAGTCAATGCGGCGCCGCCAGTTCATTTGGTATCAAAATTTTGTGCGCAGGCTTAAATTTAAAAATTTATTTCGTAACTAGTAGCAGCATGTTAACAAGGCTGCAGGTCACGTCGCTGGTAACCTGTCTAAGCTAGTACTTTTGCTGAGGGGGTAAGTGTTCGTGACTGTTGTCATAGCTCTCTCGTTTCCATCGAAGATGAAACTGGGCTAAATTGACACGTTTTCATTTCTTGTCAGTTGTTGTTCCGAAAGGTATCTGTGGTAGTTCATTTTAATTCTGAAACTAGTTATTTTTTCCCCTCTCAATGGAAACATTCTGAATCAATTCTAGGCTCTTCTATCAAGTTCATATACAAGCCCCAAAGCATCAGGACCCATTGACTCTCAAGCACTTCAGAGCGCTTTGGCGCGCCTGAATCAGGTGGATACACTGGAGAGGTCCTTTTCATCGAGCTCTCCTGACTTGTACTCCCCTGAGCACAGGTCCCCAGAAAGAACCATGGCAGGTAACGCACTGAATGGTTCTTTCAACGGTTCATATCGGCCGGGACAGATGAATAGCACAGTACAATGATACATTGGGTACCCTGTGCACACATACTGTGGACGCTTCTGTGAACAATCCTGCATGCGTACGTCAAGAGCGGGGTTCCTTTATAACAAAAACACATATTTTTGTATTTGTTTTATTTTGTGAAAACAACAGTCCTTAGATGGAAAGAGATCATCAACTGATACTGGCGAAAAAGGAGCGAAAATATAACCGCTACCCAAATAGGAAGCAATCCCTATTTGGTTTCCTCACTTTTGGAGTGTTACTGTTACAGTTTACACCATCTGTTGATAAGGAGATTGTTGAAATGACCGGAGAGTGATCTCAAGCCTATTACTTGCACCTAGAAATTGAGAGCGATTATTTATGAACCATTCAGTCTTGTCTCTTGATACATCCTGCAACCACCAAACTGACTGAGATAAGGATGAACGGGAAAAAGGATCGCTGACTAGTTTTTTTGTTTGTTTGTTTGTTTGTTTGTTTGTTTGACAAAGGGTTCGCTTAACTTATTGCATTTTCTTCGTTTTAAAATTACATTCGGTGCGAAAGCTGTCCGAGAACCACACAAACTGTGAACTAATTGTTAAATGTGGACGAAAGTAGAAATTTGTAGTCACAAAAGAAAGAGTATTGCAAACTCCTGAACAATTTTACGAGAACCCCCTTTTTTTAAGTTGGTTATTTTTACTTTACTGAACATTGAAAACCCTAATTGTGAATATTTAAGTCTGGAATCGTAATTTATAGAAATAACCACAGCTTCTTAGATAGTCACTGAAGAATTCGCAATACTTTTTAACGCAGTTTTGAAAACATTTTTAATGATACTTAGACCTAGAGAACGTCTAAACTTGTGTCGGTCTCTTGGAGTGAATTACGAAGTTAACTAATGTGTTCGCGAGGATTAATATATTTCTTGTATAGAATTGTTAATTTATTATCATGGCCGCTATTGACAGTATCTTCAAATGGTATTATATAGTAATATTACTTTTATACATTTATAACTGTATTTTTAAATTATTGAACAAGTTATTGCTGTAAGTATTTTGTATAACAGAGTTACATAGAAAGAAAAAACCGACGTAATGCTGGTCTTTGGTAATCTCGCCAAATAAAACAAATTTTCATTTTGTAGTGGCATACGACAAGATCGAGAACTCTGTGCTGTTTTAGGACTTTGATGAAAGTTGTTTGAACAACAGGTAAAACTGCTCTGAACGTAGCTTGCAAGAGCTTCCATAAACACTACAGCATGAGCAACCAGGCGTGCAAGATTCTTGCTGGCTAACTAAGCGGGAGCTGAATGTGAAGGGTTTATGCGAAGTCGTCGTCGCCAACTCGAAACGCGCAGGCTTCGCCGCCAGTGTCTCAGCGCCAATGAGAGGCTGCTTGCAGGCTACTTTGAGCGCTAAGATGTGGTTCCATCGGCGGATGATCATCATCATGAGAATTTATAGTAACAGACAACATTGATGCTTATGCTTCATCAAATCATATAAATGCTTGACATGTCTTGGCCCTTCTCTATAAGACTGATTAGTTAAAGTGAATTTTACTGCCTAGTTCCCTTTATAAAATAAACTCAAGAGTCGTGTAAACGAAAATAAATCCGATGAGAAATCTGCTTGACTATCTTTGGTAACTGCTAAAAATGAAAAAAATTGCAAGCCACCCCTTTTACGGGTGTAGTCCTGCAACTTATTTTCCTCATGAACGTTACCGTAACTTAACTGTCTCTTGCCCATGGCGATAAACTATTACCAGGGGAATCAAATTAAAGTAAAAAGTACCAGTGTCAACGAAGTAGCTGTAAACATTTAGCATGAAGATTCACTATGCAACTGAAAGGGATAAGTAAGTAATTCCGGTCTTGAAAAAACCTAGCTCTTGCTTTGTATACAATAGACGTAGAGTTTCTTGAAAAAAAATTGCTTGAAAGTTATTTGATTTGACTAGATAAATACTCTTTAAAAAAGGTACCTGAAATTCCTCAAGCTAATTGACAAATCGCTCAAGACAAAATCAACCAAAATTTTCTACGCTTGATTGCCGAACTACCCTCTTCTGATAAAAAAAAGGCTTTTGAATGTTTTTAAATGCTTAAGTTGCCAAGAGTAAATTATCAACTGTGCGACTTCAGATTTTTACAAGTAAATGCCAGATGAGCTTTTTACAGAAATGTTTGGCAGTCTGTATTAGTCTCTTTCTCCGTGACTGGCGTCCTCTCACTGAAGGGAGACGATGGAGAGTTGACAGCTTGTTTAGTCCTTTACATTTCGTTCAAGTAAGTCTATTTTACTCATTGCTCTTCGGGTGTGGTTGATCCTGGCCAATTTCCAAAGTCAAACTTCGCGTTGTCGCCAATCAACTTAGATGGAGCCCATTGTGAAATTTCGTCAAAGCCGTCACTTCTCATCCAATTCCTGGTAGCTGAATTTCTGAAATGTCCATCATCGTCAGGAGGTAGTCTTCTTCTCTCGACGGGAAGGAGTCAATAAGGCGCTTTGGAGAGAGAACAATCTCCTCTTTCGGCATTACCGTGGACAGCAAAATGTATCAGACTTACTGACTTACTCCTTGAAGCCCGCTTTGTTGCACGGTCTTCAGTCAAAGGTGTTACGCTATGAAGTTTACCGATCATCTCCGCTTCCTTTCTGGCACATGGCAATGGCAGTATATCGCTATTTAATACTAGTAGTTATATGTTCGTTACATGAATCAAGTTTAATATCCACTGCGAATACCATGAAGTTTCTACAGTTCAGTAATATGTAAAGCACCCGAAATATTAATCCGAGAAGTTAATAGTTCGACACCCATCAGCAGCACACTGTGTTTCTTTCTTCTCAGTTCGTCATGTCACTTCCTAAAAAAGGAAATCCTTCAGATTGGCTGGTGTTTACGTTTTCTGTGTAAATAAATTGTCCACCATACCAACCTTACTACGTTTGCGCACGAAAAAGACTCACTTAAACTTGCGCAGGTTTGTAAATGGGAGGAAGCAGTTTCCTCTCGTTGAGGACGTCGTAGTCTACCGTCAAGTCTCATTTGACCCCAAGAAAAGCCTCTTTTTCGAGGATTTGAGCTTCTCTAGAATTAATGTTCTGATCAGTTTACTCAGCATTTCTGATTAGCCGTTACTCATGGGGCCTGGATCATCATTTTTGGATATGCGCAAACCCCGCCATTTCTTGCTCTTCTCACGGAAGCTAAACGGAATTAGCACAGCGCTTTAAGGATGCTATTTTATATATTCATTCATCCTTTTCTCTCTTGGTAACAATTGAGATAAATTTTGACCGTTTTTGATTCAATTCATGCTAGTTTCCAAGGTATTGTTGCGTCCAGAAACTTATACCATTTTCTACACATTCAGGAGAGAGAGAAAGAGAGCGAGAGAGAGATAGTGAACACAGCTGGGTACGAACATTACTCAGGGGAGTATACTAAGTGGCTTTTCAGCTTTGACGTCAATCGATACAAACATGGCGGACGTAGTAGATTCCTTTCTCGCTAAGAAATGAACTGAAACTGTGATTTGCATGAATTCTTGGGGTTGAAACTTACAATCATGCTGATATACGTGGAGAGCAAAGCTTTTCCGGTAAGTTAAGAGCAATGCCTATGCGCTTTTCGGGGAAGACTAGAGCAGTGTTTTCATGTTGTTTCGTTTGTTGGTAACTTGGAGACAGTTAGGGCATGGTGAGATATAGATGTGTATTCAATTTTATCTGCCATTTCCTCACAGGCAACAACTGTTGCTCAATTCCTTTTTCTTTATAAATTTTTCTGCGTATCTATTCTTGGAAGAGTTGGCAGAACTTTTTTCCGTTGTTATTTTTGGACTTCAAATTTTTGTCAAACATACATAGACTGTAAATTGTAAGATTGTCACCAAGAAACACTTGTGACTCTTTGATTCGAAATCTTTGCACAAGTTGGCGATGAGAAAACCCCTAAATTCCTCATAACTGAAACTCATCATTTGGATAGCCATCAGTTGGACTATACTTACCTCATAGACGAAAAGCTGACTTAAGCAACCAAATAAAAAATGTCTTAATAATCCCATGTAGTGCCTGTTTAACTAAAATTGCAGTCCACCTTTGAGGATCATTTTCTTTGCTTTGGTTTTCACCCTAAGGTCAACTGAAATATATTTCTTTACAAGCTGTTTTCAAATTCCTGTATGGGAAAAGAATAACACTCTATAAATTTCCTTGCTCTCAGAGGCTTCATAGCTCAGTTGGTAGCAGCACCCAACTCATATCTGGGAGGCACAGGTTTGAATCCTCTCAAACATGCAGTCCACCTGTCAGGATCATTTCTGTAACAAGTAGAATATCTGTAACAATCTGTTACCGTTGAACCCTCTGTCAGCCCCAAATTGTCCAGCTCAGAAAAGTGTAGCCTATTTGCACAAAGACACTAGAAGGGGGCTAAATTGTTCTTCTTGAAAGTTTGTATTTGTTTCAGAGTTTTATCAGAGTTTGAATAAAAACTAGAGAAGGGTTACTTAACAACATGCCCTTTAAATCATAAAAATTTATGGGTAAAGTTGGACCTTAATAGCTCAAACTGTGAATATAATTTAAGGAATGGTTTTGTAAGGTGGTAAGTAGTCCTTGACAAGCATGCTTGTTTTCCTGGGTGTGATTAGCTATTCTCTCTCTGCCTTAACTCTGCCCTGGAATTACCTCGGATTACAATAAACAACTGAAAATTGCACTTCAAAAGAAAGGTATTAAAGCTAAGTTAGTGGGAAGTTTGACTTGGGCAAACTGAGTCAGTGAGGTTACAGTTTAATCACTTTTATTAATAAATCAAATTGTAGTGCCAAAGGTAGCAGTATTACAATCAATGATAGTTTGATTTCATGAACTTAGTTGATTAATATATAAATTTGTCACTATGGAGAGTTTCTAAAGCAGACATTTCAAGTGTTTCCACTTTTGCTCTGATGAAGGGCTAATGCTTGAAACATCAGCATTACAGTGGCCAATTAACATATTCACTGAGTTGATAGGACCAGATTATCTAGTATAACCCCCTATCAACACAGCACCAAAGTTTCTTTACAAACTTCCCCCCTTTTTCCACAAACAATGAGTTTTCATTCTTAAAACAGTCCAAAGTTTTGGTAGTATCATATCAGATGACACAACAATCCCCTGAGAGAGGCATTGTTGCCCTATTTATATTTGATATGGGTTTTGTGTTATTTACAGAGCAAGACATTCACCCTGGTGTGTAACCCACATGAGACAGTTGCAAGAGCAAGAGCACAGATGCTTCATATTTTATTTGAGCTTGGAAGAGCAGAGCACCAGTTTCGATTCAGATTCAAAGGAGAATATCTGAGAGATGGCTATACCTTTGAGGTAAACAAATGCAAGAAATAATTCAATGTGCTTCTGACCCTTTGACTCCCAATATCTGATTGTTAATTCAAATACAAATACCAATACACTGT